AAGAAGCAGAAAGAAACTGGAAAGGGTGGACCAGGGTATATCTCTCCAGGGCACATAAAATAAGTAATTATTTTTAAAAATCAAAAAAAAAAAGTGGTGCTTTCCCACTAATGATATAGTTCATGTTGGTTTCTTCCCTTCACTTCAGGTTCATTCACTCATTAAATATTTTATATATTCTGTGAGCTCTCAAGTTCTGCCTTAGAAATCAAGCCCCAGTCCACTTTTCACCTTTTGGTATCATCTTAGTGTAATCCTCATCTGAGATCCATCTGGCCCCCAGGAGCTTCTCATGCCAGGTAGCTGAAAGCCTAAGAGGCTCTGGTATTGTGGTACCCTGCTGGCCTCAACCTCATGTCATAACAGATATTGGAGATGACAAGTGTTTTGCTGCTGGACTTTGGTGCTTCACAGCACCAGCACTTGGGTGATTCAGTCTTTTTTCCAGTTTAGCATCAAAGAGGTATTTATTCCTGTTGTGGAAGGAAGCCCATGCTGGCAGATTTGGTCTGTTTTACTAGGGGGTCTAGAACTGTTTCTGGTACACAGTGAGTACTGGAACATATCGTTATTGTTTAATAACATTTTTATTTGCATTTATGTGTACCGTGGTACCTGTGTGGAGGTTATGGGCCTACTTTTGAGAGTAAGTTCTCTTCTACTGTATGGGTTTTATCATAGAACTCGGGTCACTGGGCCTGGTGGCAGGCACCTTTACGTGCTGAGCCAACTGACTAGCCTCAGGATGTTTTCCAAATGTTTGGCTTCCCTGCCATACAGCATCCTCTCTATGTTCTGAGTGTTCTTGGTAAGATTCTTAACTCTTAGTTGATGTCCTTAAAGTCAGATTCTCAATATGTAGCCTAGGCTGACTTTGAACTCACTGTCTTTGTCCCTCTGTTTCCTTAACATTGGCATTAAAGGTTTTCACCATCATTCTTGGCTTGAGCATTTTTCCGGTAGTTGTTGTTATTTAATTTGATGACACATTTCATTATATGGGGTAAGTAGTCGGAAGTAGAACATATTCATTGTTTTCTTGAGTCTCTTATAAATGCAAATGTTACTTTCGGTATCTGAATGTAAGATTGCATGGCCCTGTTACCTTTGAAGAGATATTTTTGGAAACTGATTTCCTGAGTAAATGAAGTCAGGAATCTCAGTGGTTCTCACTGTTGGAGATATACTTGCACAAGGAAAGAATGTCCTGTTTACCTACCCTTTATTTAGTAAGTTCAGGACTATCAAGTCCTGGACTCCCTGCCTGGGTGTCCCTGCTCAGCTTTAAACAGCAATTAAACAGTTGAAATTATTATATTTCCCATATTTGATATTTAGATTGCAGAGTTCAGTAATCCTAGGGAGAATTTTTGTTATTCTTAGATTGTATGTTCACCCAGAGTTTTGTTTTAAGCTGTTAAATCCCCAGTTGAACACTTCATGGAACACAAAGACTTTTCCGTGCCTTAGTAGTGTAGAGGTGTCATTGAACTTCTCTTTGCTGAATAGTGTTTTATTCTACTGCACCCACATCTTTTCAGTTGTACTGTGCCATCAGTCTCCTAAAAGGCAGTCAGAACCACATTTCTTTTTTTTTCTTTTCTTTTCTTTTTTTTTTTTTTTTAAGATTTATTTATTCTGCATACAATGTTCTGTCTTCATGCTGCCTATACACCAGAAGAGGGCATCAGGTCTCATTACAGATGGCTATGAGCCTCCATGTGGTTTCTGGGAATTGAACTCAGGATATCTGGAAGAGCAGTCAATCTCTCCAGCCCCAGAACTACATTTCTCTTACGTTACTAATTCTTTGTGCTAGCTTTCCTTTAGTGTCTCTCTCGGCAGAATTTACAAAAGAAACACATAGTAAAAAACATATCTGGGGAAGATGTCATGGGAATGGAAGTAGACAGATGGACAGATAGAAAATAAATACTTTTATAGACAATATCATCTGACTGTGTCATAGAATTGTTTAGAAAGAGAAAAGGGAAAGAAAGGAAGGGCTGGTCCCTTTATATTTTTATTTCCTGTCTCGAGACAAAAGCTTTAAGTCTCAAGTCCTGTTTTCATAACACTTCCCCTGTCTTACAAATTCTTGGAACACCCTCCGCCCATTTAGGTTTTCTCTTAAGAAACAGAGGCTAAGAGGGCCAAGCCCAGCCTGTAACACTCTAGAGACTTCTGTTTTGTTTGTTTGCAATTTATAGAAGAATGATTACTAAATAACAGCTATCTGTGATTAAGATTATGAATAGAGAGATTGGAATGTTAGCCTCATTTGTAGCTTCAGGTGACTTGCTGAGTACTTGGCTGTTATTACAGCTGTGACATTTCGTGTAGTGAAGTACACAGATTTTAGATGATGTTGTTTAATTTGATGACACGTTTCATCATATGGATAAGTAGTCCCTTCTCATGCAGTTTTTTCTCATGCATGTGCAGATCTGCTCTTGCCAAAGCTCAGTAGAACCCCAAATCAGGTCCCCAAAGTATACACTTTACACCTCCCTCCACTCCTATGTACTGCCCAACAAAGTCCTAGCCTCTTTGGCCTCTCTAATTATGATTTCAACTGATAAGACTGGGTTCACCTTCTCTGTGTAACATCCTGGAACTTCACTCTAGGTAGCACTGAGCACCTGCAGGTTCATCGTGTTTCCTGTCTCGGAAGCACATTTCCAACTCTTCTGTTGCTCTGTGTCTGAAAGCCATTGTGTTCTGTACTTTGTCCAACTTTCCACTGTTCACAGTAGGAAGATAAATCTTGTCCCAGCAGAAGGCAGTGCTGGAAGAGGAAATCTCTAAAAGTGGAGGAAGAGGCTGGGTAATGCTTGCCTTGCAGTCACAAAGCCCTTGGTTGATCCTCAGCTCTGCACTACGCCTGGCATGGTGGCACATAGCTCTAAGTCACTTTCTGATTCCTGGAATATACATGTTGTAGTTTGAAAGAGACTGGCCCTCAAAGGCTAATGTGTGCATGCTTAGTCCCCATTTGGTGACCTGTTTAAGAAGAATTAGGAGGTGTAGCCTTGTTAGGAGAAATGTGTCACTGGGGGTGGGCTTTGTTTCAAAAGCCCATGCTAGGCCCAGTGGCTTTCTTCCTGCTGCCTATGAATCAGAATCAGGATGTAAAGCTCTCAGCTGCTGTTCCAAGAGCATGCCTGCATGCATGCCACCCACCACAGTCCCTGCCATGGTGATTAACTGTTAGCAAACCCCCAATTAAATACTGGATTTAACCAGGGGTGGTAGCACACGCCTTTAGCCTTAGCACTTGTAAGGCAGAGGCAGGCAGATTTCTTTGAGTTTGAGGCCAGCCTGGTCTACTTAGTCAGTTCTAGGACAGCCAGGACTATGTAGAGAGACTGTAGGTGTAGTTTTCTGTCCCTCCAGCCAGTTCCCAAATAACCACACAGAGATTTACTAGTACTTATAAATGCTCGATTGATTGCTTAAGCTGTACTAACTAGGTTTCACAACTTAAATTAACTAACATTTCTTATCTATGCTCTACCTCGTGGCTCAATACCTTTCTTCAGCACAGCATGCTCACCTTGTTTCTCCCTTCATCTCCTAGCGACTCCACCTTCTTCATCCCAGCATTATCTCCCTGTCTGAAAGTCCCACCTAACCTCTCCTGCCTAGCTATGAGAGTAACACATCTTCACAGTGTACAGAAAGATTATTCCACAACAGAGACCCTGTCTCAAAAATATCAGAGTCACCTTGGTTTTACTTGATAGCAATAAAAACTCTAAGACAACATGAGAGAGCCAGTCTTACAAAGTGGGGGGAACAACACAATAGTCAATCAGTTACAGTTTTTTTTTTTTAAGTAGAATAGTCGTCTTTTTATATCGAGATTTTTTCAAGAATTTATTTTATTGATATTTTGCCTATATGAATGTCTGTGTGAGGATGTTGGATCCTGGAGTTACCGTTGTAAGTTGCCATGAGGGTGCTAGAAAAAGCAATCATTGCTCTTTACTATGAGTCATCTCTCCAGCCCCATATTGAGATATTTATATTGAGATAAAATATTAGGGTGTGTAATTCTTAGAACCTATCAGTTCTCAGAATACATACATACATATCACACTTAATATTAGCACTTGTTCTTTGTAAGGCACTTGCATAACTTAGTGTTCCGGGTGATCAGTCGAATCTAAAGTTCTGTGTTTTTCTCCGATCCACTTGAAATTATTATATATAAAGGGTATTAATTTGGGCTATGTGTGCCCATCTTATCTATAGTTTCCCGTGAATGGTGGGTATGTCATTGTCCTAATTTTAAGGACATCTGAGTTATGTGTGTCTTATTGGTTGATAAACTTATAAACTGTGTCAATTGAACTTTTTTAAAAATAAAAATTCACATCAGGCAGTGGCGGTACATGCCTTTAATCTCAGCATTAAGGAGGCAGAGTCAGTTTTGGTGTTTTGCCTGCATGTATGCCTGTGTGAAGGTGTCAGATCACTTGGTGCTGGATCACAGACAGTTGTGAGCTGCCATGTGGGTCCTGGGAATTGAACTCAGGTCCTCTGGAAGAGCAGCCTTAACTGCTGAGCCATCTCTCTTGCCCCATGAGCAAGGAATATTTATGTTTATGTCCCATACAGGTTAATGTGCAAAACTATTTTATGTTAGCACATGCCTGTAATCCTAGCACTTAGGAAGCTGAGACAAGAATTCCAAGAGTTAAAGGATACCCTGGACTACATAGTAAAAGTTGTCTGAAAACAAGAAGAAAAGATTAGTCAGGCTGTGTGGTAGCGCATGCCTTTAATCCCAGCATTTGGGAGGCAATGGCAGGTGGATGTCTGAGTTTGAGGTCAGCCTGTTCTACATAGAGAGTTCGAGGACAGCCAGAACTATTACACAGAGAAACCCTGTTTGGAAAAACAAATAAAAGACCTGGTTAGATAAAAAGGAGAGGGGGAAGATGGTTGACTTTTTCTTCTATTCCTTAGTTTTGTTTTGTTTTGTTTTTTTCTAGGCAAAGAATGTGTACAACAGTTGGCTGAGAACACCAAGTATTTCAGGAGACGCCTGAAGGAAATGGGATTCATCATCTATGGCAATGAAGATTCCCCGGTGGTGCCTTTGATGCTCTACATGCCAGCCAAAATTGGGTACATTTTGTGGAAGGTCACAAACTGCTCTGTCATTAGACTCAAGGATATGTTGGGGCTGGAGCAGGGAAGAAGTTGACATTCCTGTGTAGCCCTGGCTGGTCAGGAAGTCACTATATATAGATCAAGCTTCCTCACCACATTGGCCGGCCTCTACCTCCCTCCCAAGTGCTGGGTTTAGAGGTGTGCACCACCACACCTGCCATGGGCAGTCTTTTATTCCCAAATATTGTGAACAGATTAAGGGAAGGTAAAACACAAAGCATAATTATGTAAACAAAACTTAAGAATCCATTATTTAGTGGGGATTCAGATGTGGAGTAAGGGTACAAGATAGCTGTGGTTAATTATTGTTGTACAAGAATTGAGGAGTTTGGGTAACCTGCTGGCCTATAGAGCCTCAAAGCAGCCTGTACACTAGGCAGCTTTAGTCCCAAGTAGGTTTTGGGGGGGGGGGGGCGGATAAGGAAACTGGAGAGATGGATCAGCGGTTAAGAGCACTGGCTGTTCTTCCAGGGGTCCTGAGTTCAATTCCCATTCCCAGATGGCTCACAACCATCTATAATGAGATCTCTCTCCCTCTTCTGGAATGTAGACATACATGAAGACAGAACACTTTATACATAATAAATAAATCGGAAAGGAAAGGAAAGGAAAGGAAATTCCTGGTCTAGAAGGCCAATTCCAGCCAGCTACTCTGGCAACAACAAAGAGATGTCCCTGTGTAAGGGGCCCTCATAGTCTCAAAACTTATTGTTTTGAGAACTGAGTTTTTAAATACTGATTTATTTTAGAATCTTAACCACTGTTATGTTTCAGGGACAGGCTATCACCTAAAGCGAACTTTTATCACAATTGTTCCTTGCCAGTTACATTCTTTCACCTTTGTAAAGGAATGACTGACTATCAGAGGACTGGAGAAACAAAACAAAACAAAACAAAAAAAACAGAATTTTTAGAACTGTCTGTTTTAAGTGTTTATGCCTATATCATCAAAACTCCGGCCAGCAGTCAGATGGTGGTTGTGCACACCTTTAATCCCAGCACTCGAGAGGCAGAGGCAGTCTAATCTCTGTGAGTATGAGGCCAGTCTGGTCTTCAGAGAAACCCTGCTTCGGTAGGTGGAGGGGGACAGGGAGCCGTAATGAGGCCAATGAGATATTGTACTGGCTGCTGTTTATACTTCTTGGTTTCTTTTGTTGTTTTGGTTTTTGAGGCAGAATTTCTCTGTGTAGCTCTGGCTGTCCTAGAACTAGTTCTGTCCTCGAACTTAGATCCTCCTACCTCTGCCTATTAAAGGTGTGAGCGACCATGCCAGCTACATTTCTTGGTTTCATTTCCTGTTTTCCTTTTGTAGCGCCTTTGGGCGGGAGATGCTGAAGCGGAACGTTGGTGTGGTTGTGGTGGGATTTCCTGCTACCCCAATCATTGAGTCCAGAGCCAGATTTTGCCTGTCAGCAGCTCATACCAAAGAAATACTTGACACGGTAAGTACCTTGCAGTCATTATGGCACACTACTAAAAGGCGCCATCTGTGTATCAGATGGTATTAATCACCTGATGTTCTTGGGCACCTAGGATTTTTTTGTTTTGTTTTTGTTTTTTGAGACAGGATTTCTCTGTAGCTTTGGAGCCTTTCCTAGAACTCATTCTGTAGATGAGGCTGGCCAGGAACTCATTGAGATCCACCTGCCTCAGTTTTTATATTTGTTTATTCATTTTTTATGGGTTTCGATTTTTCTAGATAGGGTTTCTCTGTGTACTCCTGGATGTCCCAGAACTCGATTTGTAGACCAGGCTGGCCTCAAACTCACTGAAATTCTACTTCCTCTACTTCCCAAGTGCTGGGATTAAAAAGCGTGTGCCACCACTGCCTGGCTTAATTTTTTTTTTGTTTTTTGTACTTTATTGGTGATTGATCTTCATTCTTTTCTTCTTCTTTTTTTTAATCTTCATTCTTTAAGTGACCAATACAATACTCTAGTGTTGTGAACTGTAGGTAAAATTATAGCTACATCATTTCCCCCTTTCCCTTTTCTAAATCCAGTCCCTTCCATGTACCTCTACCCTTGCTCTCATTCAAATTCATGGCCTCTTTATTGTTGGTGGGGGGTGTTTGTGCATAGTCCTAAATATATAAGTACAACTTCTCAGTTTGTATTATGTTACTTACAAGTTCAGGGCTGACCATTTGGTATTAGATAATAACTGGTGTTCTCTTTTCGGGGAAGGGCTATTTCTTCCACTCACCATTCCCTGTTTGTCTGTAGCTTTGTCTGTTGAGACCTTGTAAGCTTTCCCCTTCCATGTTAGCATGTCTGTTGGTGTTTAGGCAGTCGTGTTGGTAAGACTTGGGTGTAGCTTCTCTGAGATTTCTAACAGACATGGTCTCACAGCAAACTTCCTGTTCCTCTGATTCATACCACACTCTAGCCTCTCCAACAGTGATTCCCAAGCCTTAGAGCAGGAGTTTTCATAGATGAATCAACCAGGACTGGACTCAGTAACCCTGCGTTTTGTTGTGATTTTCTGTAATGGTCTCCATTTGTTACAAAGAGAAGTTTCTTTGCTGAGGGTGAGGTCTACACTAAACTGTGAGTATAAGGACAGATATGTTTGCATTATTTATTATGGATTATGCTATCTTAGAGAAGAAAAGTGGCTGGTTGTAGGTTCTTATCCAAGACCCAGAGCTTCACCCTGGGTAGTTGGCTAGATTTGAAGTTCCAGGAGTGATTTTCCTCTTGTTGAGCAGAGAGTCAGCAAGTCCTGGTGGAGAGTTGTTGGTTACCTCCAAGGTGTGTGTGCCACAGCTGTGCCTTTAGGGTTATCCTGGCACACTGGTTGTGGTTGTGTTTCATGGGCCTTAGAGCTGGGGAGGACTACTGGTAGCCCACCTCCTTTGGAAGCTCACATGGCACCTGCTGGTATCATGAAAGCCAGTGCTCAGTGAGGAGGTTTTCAGGTCAGATCTTGTTCTGGTCCTCTGGGTCCTATGTCAAAAGTCTTCATCAATGAGAACCTGCCTTCTGCCTCTGGGGAGTAACCCAGGGCAATAGCAGTAGTAATCTATACTGTTTGAGTCTCTCTTGGACAACTCTGATATACTAATTTATTTTTAATTTTAAACCCAGTGATTTCTGCTTTTCTTCCTATTCTCTATTTGAATGCAAACATACCAGTAGTATGAGGTTTTGTGATTTCCTTTTTTTTTTTTTAATCCTGCATTTTAGAAGCAATTATTTCAGCCACACATTGTTTTTTCTAACAACTAACTATGCAACCTGTAGTTGGATCCTTTTTCTTTGTCTTGCCCAGTTCCGCTTGACTGGTTTCTCTCCTGCCTGCTGGTCCCTAAAGCCACTTACTAAGTAATCATTCTGAGGCTTAATATTAACTATAATTAATGACTTAGGCTCAGGCATACTAACTAGTCCTCACATTTAAATTAACCTGTTTCTTTTCATCTGTGTATCACCACAAGGCTGTGTCTTACCGGTAATGCTCGGACATCTTCCTTCTTTGGTGGCTACATGGTGTCTCCTTGTCTCTGCCCTCTTTCTCTGTTTGGATTTCCCACCTACCTATATTCTGCCCTGTTATAGGCCAAAACAGCTTTATTCATCAACCAATGAAAGCAACACGTATTTGCAGCATACAGAAGGACATCCCACCCACATCAGATACTGAAGCAGATTCTGTTGCCAACAGTGTGTTGGTTACTGGAGAGTGCCAGTTCTTTTAGGATATCCACAGAAAGAGCTCACTGGAGTTTGCCGTCTACTTTGTCTTAAAAGCAAGAAATGCTTTTTTGTTTTTTGAGACAAAACAGGCCTTGAGCCTGGTTTCCTCTGCATCTCCAAGAATGAGCCACCACACCTGGCTTAAGCTTTTTATTTTATTTTTAAACCATAGGTTTGTTGAAGTCATTTTATCTTGTAATATTTTACAGAATTAAACATGAAAAATGAACAGGAGTTTTATGTGATACAGACTAATTTTTATTCAGTAATAGGTCCTGCCACATAATTAAAAATTAGCATTTGGTGTGTGGTGGTGATGTGTGTGCTTGAGCATCTATGGAGATGAGAGAGTCAGTTTTCTCCTTTCGTATGTGGATTCTAGAGATCAAACTCAGGTCATCAGGCTTGGTAACAAGTGCCTTACCCACTGAGCCATCTCACTGGCACACGACTCTTCAAATAGGAAGTGTCATAGAATACATACCTATGTGTGCCCATAAATAATACACAGAATCAACACATAACAAACAGACTCAATAAAGCTGTTCTGAGAAACAAGAAGGAGAAGGGAAGGGCAGATGCCCTAGACTATTCCCTTACTTGACCACATAATGTTTTCTAAGAACCCATCTTATCATTAGAATATATTTATATAGAATACATACAATATACAACAAGACTGGTAGAGCTAGTAAACTGTTTGGGCAAAGTTAGTAAGAAAAATATTCTTGTACCACATTAATATCTCATATTTCAGCAATAAACAAATGAAAAGAGAATCTCAGGCCAGGCATGGTAGTGCAGACTTTAGTCCCAGGACTTGGGAGACTGAGCAGAAGGATCACATGTTCAGGGCCAGTGTGAGTGTGCACAGGACCCTTTTTTATCTCAACATCAGGGGTCAGGTAGATAGCTAAGAATAAGCTTAACTAAGGAACCTTGTAAAATTTATGTTTAATAAGCTGGTGGCGTTGTGCGCTCCTATAGTCTCAGCTACTTAATCTGAGGCAGGAGCATCCACTATTCTCACAAGTTTGAGGCTGGTCTGGGCAACATAGTGAGATGCCATCTCAACCAAAAAAAAAAAAAAAAAAAAAAAAAAAAAATTTTTGTTAGAATGCCAGTATAGTCATCTACATACCCAGAACAAATTCAATAAGAATTCAAGTTATACTATTTGCAGAAATGGAAACACTGATCCTGAAGTTTATATGGAACTAGTAGATTCCCCCAAACAGCTGAAATGGTGTTGAAAATGAAAGTTGGAGGACTCATTTGTCAATTTCAAATCTGATTACAACCTACAGTAACTAAAGCAGTAAGTGAGTACCAGCACAAGGATTTCATTGAGACCAGAGGCTTGGAATGAAAGCTGGAGAATCAGCCTAAGCATCTGGTCAGCTGATGGTTAACAGGGTAGCTGGGCCAGGCAGTGAGCACAGGATAGTTCCTAAAGCAAGCAGTGCTGGAATGGATGCCCAGTGAAGCTGCAACCCGACAGCGTGAACAGACCTGCAAGCTGTGCTAACTGAAAGAAGCTAGACACATTCCCCTCCTAAGGAGTGTCCATAGTGGGCAACTCTACGGTGTCAGGAAATAGATTGGTGGTTGTGAGAGCTTAGAGGAAAGCAGGGATGCAGAGCAATAAATGTACTGAGTATGGGAGTCATGGGAATTAATTGGGAGACAGAGGCCAGCCTGGTCTACGGAGTCAGTTCCAAGGCAGACAGGGCTACACAGAGATCTGTCTCAAAAAGCTAAAAAAAAAAAGAGGAGGAGGAAAAAAGCAAAAGGAAACTCTCTACAAGCAGTGAAGTGATGAAAGTTGTGCCATGATGGGATTATACTAGAAGCACTGAATTGTGTCCAGTAAAAAGTTGGGGTTTGGCCGGGCGTTGGTGGCGCACGCCTTTAATCCCAGCACTTGGGAGGCAGAGGCAGGCGGATCTCTGTGAGTTCGAGGCCAGCCTGGTCTCCAGAGCAAGTGCCAGGATAGGCTCCAAAGCTACACAGGGAAACCCTGTCTCGAAAAACCAAAAAAAGGTTTGTGGAATGTGGGTCATTTTTCAGTAAAGTCATCTTTCCACATAATGGGAAGAATAACAGTATCCGCTGTGGGAGGGCAGTTGTACTAGCACTGTCCTCACTCAGCCTGGGCTGGATATGTCTTTCTCTAGGAACTCGTCTTATGCCTTGTGCCAGAGGTCACTATAATTATTTGCTAATAGATATTACCATATAATGGTTCTTTGCTCCTAATCTAACCAAATAACCTCATTTAAGGGCCAGCAGTTTCTGTTACAAATTTGGTTTTTTATGTAGACAAAACTTGTGTGGGGCTCTGAGTGGTGGTATATGCTCATAGTCCTGGGTTCCCAGAAGTCTGAGATAGAAAGATCACTTGAGCTCAAGAGCCCCAGATCATCTTGGGAAGTTTATTGAGATCCCATATCACATAACAAATGAAAAAATAGAATCAAAAACCTTGTGTGAAATACTAGATATGGGAACAAGACTCTTACTTTTATCCCCTTGGGCACTGAGAGTTTGTTTCTGCTCACTTCGTGTTTCTAACCACTTTCTTCTTCACACTGATGAAAAAACACTAGGTGTTCCTGGAGTCAGGGCTCATAAATATCTTTTCCTCTGTGTTCTAAGTCATGTACACCTTTGTTTTAAATGTATAAGTCCTCTACCAGTCAAGGAGATAAATGGCTAATGGTTTCTCCCATCTGAAGTTCAGAGTTAACTGTCTGTGTGGAGTCTTCAGTTAAGCCTGGCCTCCAAGGCCCCGCTGTTCTGATAGCACAGTGAAGCTCAGCTCTTATTCTTTATTTATATTCTTCACATTTTGGAATAAAAAAACATGCAAACTGACCTTTATGCTGGTAAGCAGTTCTAAAATGCATATTTTCTTTTAAAATATTTTTTATAATTTTTTTATTGTGCTTTTGAGTGTGGGTGTGGTTTCAAACATGCCATGACTTGCATATGGAGCTCAAAGTGCAAGTTGCAAGAGTTGGTCCTTTCCACTGTGGGTCCTAGGGATTGATCTCAGGTTGTGAGGCTTTGTGGAAGGCGCCTTTACCTGCTGAGCCACTCACTGGCCCAAAGTGTGCATTTTCATACAGAATTATAGCTCTAATCCTGACAGGAAGCCTATTCCCTTTCCTCCTGAGCACCTTACACAGATAAGAATTGCAGCCTTTGTAGCGCATGCTTGGGTGCTCATGGCCATCTTGATGACCAGGCCTGAGCTCTTGTTCAGATGCTACCACACACACACGCACGCACGCACGCACGTGTGCTCTGGAGACCAGACTGGCCTCGAACACCCAGAGATCCGCCTGCCTCCTGTCTCCCGAGTGCTGGCGTGTGCCACCAACTCCTGGCCAGATGCTACTCTTGCTTCAGCTGTGTACAGTCTTTCCTGCATACTTGAATTAACTGTATCCCTCTAAGATGACCTTGCCACTAGCCAGTGGCATTGGTGGCTCATGCCTTTAATCCCAGCACTCAAGAGATGGAGGCAGGCGAATCTCTGTGAGTTTGAAGCCAGCCCGATCTACAGAGCGAGTTCCAGGACAGGCTCCAAGCAACACAGAGAAACCCTGTCTCAAAAAACAAAACAAAACAAAAAAAAGATGCCCTTGCCACTGTTGTTTGGGTCCAGCAAAGTGTTGGGCATGCTTGCATCCTGCTCATCCTGACTGAGCACTGTTGTGTGTGTTTTAGGCTTTAAAGGAGATAGATGAAGTTGGAGACCTGCTGCAGCTGAAGTACTCACGCCGTCGGCTGGTGCCTCTGTTGGACAGGCCCTTTGATGAGACTACCTATGAGGAGACAGAAGACTGAGCCTTTTTGGTGCTCCCTAGAGGAGGAAACTCCCTCCCAGGACAGTGTGTGGCCTTTCTGAGCCAGTTCCAGAACCACACTTCAGTGACCACCTCATGTGAAAGACATTTCCGAAGCTACTGAAGGTGGACACCTCCACTCCAAATGGCATTTTGTAAATAGTAAAAAAAGAAACAAACTGCTTCACATTCTTCCATTGTTTGCTAAGTCTCACCTTTATATAATATATATATATATATAAATGATTACTTTGTCCATTAAAAAATGTTTTATTTTATAACTATTCTACTTGTGAAATCACACTGACCCTTGCCTGTGGCTTACCACACAGGCATTCCCTACTCCAGTCACCTCCTGGGCTTGGATCCATCAAGACTTAACCTGGCCCTGGCGCTCCAGCCTTGAGACTCACTGGCCCTCTCCCTAGGGAGCAAGTGCCTTCTGCTAACTTCTTGTCCAGGTCTCAGAGGTCGCCCCCCCCCCCCAATAACCCTTATTTAACCAGTCAAGTTAATCAACCAAAGCATTCTATCTTTAGTCTTAAATGTTAACAATGCCAGGAGGTTTATTATGTGACTCCCCCTGGCCAAGGACCTCCCTAGACTTCTCTTAATCTTCATTGTTGTTCTGGTCACCAAATAGTTTATTTATTCATTTTCTTCATATGGTCACAGACTGAAGATGTGTCCCAAGTTTGGGTTCTTACCCCATCTAGCCCTAATGCTTCCGACCTCCACAGTTATGACAGTCTCTAGCTGCTTCTGGGTCCAGATTAGGATGTGACCTGGTAAAGGAAGTGTGAGTCAATCCTTTGCCCGTGTTCCACTTCACCATTAGTGTTATAAGTTTTCCTTGTAGATACTGACCCCCTTGTCCTTCCAAATGCCAGTTCTTGTACTCTGAAATGTCCTAAGATGATTTTGACCCAGCCTCTGGGGCTGACTTCTCTTGTGCTTCTGTTGTGCATTTTTTCCTTTGAGGAATTTCTGATCAGATACCTCTTTCCTAAACTGGAATAGCCTCTGTTTGTCTGTTACTACTAGGTCAGGGACTTCATCCAGAGCTCTGCACTGCTTGACCAAAGAACATAGCTGAAGAACACCATTTAAAGTTACTCTCTTCTTTTGACCAAAGCTTAATCGAAGAGAATCTTTGGCTTTATTGCACTGAAAATGAATCTGTGTTTTAGTGGTGATCAAGTGTTAGAGGGAAGGATACAAAAGAACTGTATAAAAGTGTATTCCGTATGTCATTCTTTAAAATTATTCTTTTTATTGGTAAAGATGCCCCAACCAAATTCTCCTGGGGACCTCACTGTCAGCTGCAGTACATGGACTTGAAGATAGAAGCAGTGTTGTTTGTGAAGCTCTGTTCTCATGGCCTGGATCTAAATCATCTTTGGTCCTCTTGACATCTGTGAGCTTTCAGCCCTTGAGATGGTCTAAGGTCTTATGTGGCTTTTTTAAAGATTGGAAATGGAGCCAAGTGGTGGTGGTGCACACCTTTAATCCTAGCACTCAGGAGGCAGAGGCAGGTGGATCTCTGTAAGCTTGAGGACAGCCAGAGTTGCATAGTGAAACCTGTCTCAAAAGAGAAAAACAGAAAATAGTAAATTAAAGAACCACAGAAAGGCTGGAGAGAAGACTCAGAGGTTAAAGAGCACTGACTGCTCTTCCAGGGGTCCTGAGTGCAATTCTCAGCAACCGCATGGTGACTCTCAACCATCTGTAATGAGATTTGGTGCCCTCTTCTGACCTGCAGGCATACTTGCAGACAGGACACTGTATACATAATAAATAAATAAATAAATAAATAAATAAATAAATCTTTTTTTCTTTTTTTTTTTTAAGAGAGAGAGAACCACAGAAAGAATCGACTACATTTATAAAAAAAATTCCATAAAACATCTTGCTCACTTAACTCCTGTAGAATCCCACTGGGAATACCAAGTTTTGTTACTATTTAAAGATGTAGACATAGGGCTTGTAAAAGTAACTAAGTGATGAACATGCCTCCTAGGCTTTCTGCTTACATTAAGTCACTTCAAACTAAAGTGTTATTGACAGGCATTATGTGTGTGTGTGTGTGTGTGTGTGTGTGTGTGTGTGTGTGTGTGTGTCACTTGATTGATGCAAAGTTTATTTCAGGCTAAATGTAATTTGTTACAAGTTTATTTTGAAGAGACAAAATTCCTGTGATCTACTTCCTAGAGGACAAAATAGTGTATACACATTATATGAGACTGGTTATTTGTAATTCTAGTAGAAATCATGGGCCCAGTCATGTCATAGATCATTATCAAAATTTTGGGGCAATACAAGGGTATATTAGTCCAGCGTTTGAGTATAAGTAGTAGTCTGGATCCTAAAGAGACTCAAACGTATATAAGTCAGCCATCACCATCAAACCTGGCTGTTGATTGGTCTGTGAGGTGCAACTCATCCTAGCACTTTGCACTATGTTTTTCATTATCATTGTCCTTATTCATTTCATGTTTGTAAGACCCACTTCATGGCTCACATCAGAAACCAGAACCTCATCAGAATCATGCACAAGACATGGCCCAAGGGGCAAGGACAGTGAGCATCTCCCCTCTGCCGAATCCTTGTTTAAGGGATCCAGCCCTCTTCACTCCTTCATTCATGCTCTTCAACTCTTATGGTCCAGGCAGGGTTTCCAAATCAGCTTCTTCCTTGAGTCCTCCAGCCTCATTTCTGCCCCACACCCTCTTGTAGGCGAAGGGTGGAGCATCTTCATAATGATCACCTCGAGTCCTTCACTCACCCTCTCTGTATCTTCTTAGTGGTTGGAATTCTAGGTCCAGAGAAGACATGTATGCTGGTGCAGGGTTTGGGGAGCTGAAGTGTAGACAGCCTGCTTCTTGCATGCACAATCATGCACTTCAGTGATCGGCCAGGGACTTTATCTTCCTTTTTTCAGTTGAGGGCATCCATGTCTGAGTCTCCATGACTGTCAGGGGTCAGGGTGTGGCCAGATTACCTAGTATATACTATAACTTGCAAAAACCAGATTAACAGCTGATTTAGATTTCCTGATATCTACTACCACCTCCATTTTCCCGAATTTGTAATTCTAATTACAAATTCTGCCTAATGGTTTGTAATTTTTTTGACAAAAAGCCCCTAGAAAAGAATAACAACTGGTTCTCCTGGAATGATTGTTATAGGTCAGGTGTGGTTCATACCTGTAATCCCAATACTTGGGGGACAGAAGCAAGAGGACCTTCTAGAATTCTGGATTAGCCTGGGCTACAGGATAAGAGTCTCAAAAAAAAAAAAAGTGGGTTTCTATGACTAAATGCCAAGGGTGCTGTTGTAGGTAAGAAATACCCAGGTGTTCTGTCGCTTTGTTTCAAATGGGTTAGAAAAAGGGGGAGGATAGTACTTTTTCTCTCTGACTGCCCTGTTCCTGTGATGACCAGGAGCTATGGGGTGTTTCTGACAAGTAAAATCACCTTAGCCTGGGGCTATGAAGGGAGAGGTTTGTGGAAATCCAGATTCTGCTTGGCAGTTTATCAAAGCGTCTATAGCACCCCTCACCCCCCAATTCCAGAACCTATGGATGAGCTGTACCTGTAAGCTCAGTGCCCAGCAGGCATCTTAATCCATTAAGCCAGTCAATCAAAATACCTTCCATGTGGAGAAAAGCATGGCCTTCCTCCCCTCTGCCTTATCCACATGAGATGTGTGCTTGGGCTCCTAGCCAGCTGCTGTGTCCAGCCAGATAGCCAACTCAGGGCTCAGAGAAATAGTAGGGCCTGCCATCAGTCCCCTCCCTTGTCCTGCCTACAAAATGCTATTGTTCCTTTTGTAGTTTTCAGTGACTTCTGTTTTCCAGGTAGCTTTTTCGCTGTATATAGAAGTGTTTCTAGGAAGGAAACACAAGGAGCCAACTTAAGCCCTTAATGAAAATGACCATTTTCATCTTTGTGAAGTCTGAAGGTTTTACATTCACAGTTCACCCTTGGGAGCAGCTTTGGGGGTGGGGAAGCTGTGGGCAAGATTTTGTTTCTATGATATGGCCTTACATTGTTACTATTTCTGGTGTAATGGATTGTAATAAATTGACCCTGAAGAATGCCAAGGCTCTTACCCTGCACTTACTTCTAATGAAGCAATACCCAAAGCTCTGATTTTGGAGCAGTTGTGGGAGGCAGAATGTAAGTTGCCTGCATAAACAGTTCCCCAATGTGCTGCTGAGTGTCTGTTTCCTTACCATCTGAGCTCTTCCCTTGTGCAAGGGAATTCCAGCCAACTCAAAAGTCCAGCACAGTTCCCAGGTTTCTTGTGCAAATCCTGATTGGTGTAGACCTTCCAACTGGGTGAAGGCTGCACACCAAGTGAGGAGGAGTAGGACTTACCTTCTCCCTTAACACTGTACCTCAAGGTTAGTTTGCCCAGTGGTTGGAGTTGAGAGCTTCCTTACTGGGTCTTCCTTCACAGGGCCTGGAAGCCTTTGTTGAGAGTTTAGCCTGCATGCTCACAGTCTTGATGATCCCTCTCTGTACAAAGGCAGCTAACAATAAGGGATGGGGGAAAGAGGAGAGCAGGTGTCTATGGAAGAGCTGAATTAGGGTGATCCTGTTGGTGGATCCATGTTTTCCGACTGGCCAAGTTACTGTAAACTGGAATGTGCACGGTGTACTGTGATCTAACCCTTTCCATTGCTGCAATGTTCTTATCACGTGGGCTTTTTAATTTTGGTAATGTCTTACAAATGTCACCCTTGTGTAGCCCTCTGCCTTCTCGCCAGATGATGAGTTTTTAAAATTTCATTTTATATCGAATGACTGTGAAGCTATATGTAGTAGGTTGTGGAGGGTGTTAACTTTCAGAGTGCATGTTGAGAATATAAGGGGACCTACATGAGATGAACCATCCCACAAATATTGTTATGCCCTAATAAAATATTCAGAAATAGACACCTACCTGCCTTCATTCATTCAGCCAGTAATTATCAGGTATTAACCTCACTGCCAGCACTGCCAGTGTACTGGGCACTGCAGCAACAGCAGTGAAAAGACAGATGTGGACAAGTGTGTGAACTTACCATTTTACAGACTGCTACAGGCTTGCACAGAAAACCCAAAGGGAATAATTGAAATGGGTAACAGAGCTGGGCAGTGGTGGCTCATGCCTTTAATCCCAGCACTCGGGAGGCAGAGGCAGGCAGATCTCTGTGAGTTCGAGGCCAGCCTGGTCTACAGAGTGAGTTCTAGGAC